CTTTGAATATGGTTATCTGTGAGTGATGATAAATCAGACGTCCGCGTTATAAATGAATGATTGAATGATTACTAATTCTGGGCAGTTAGTAAATTAGTGAACTTGAAGTAGACTAATATTAAGTCTCCAAAATTGATATATAGGGTGGATACAAATAAATTCATTTATAAGTTAGACAACATTCAGTGTAATACAATAATAACGTATGATTCTAGTTTTGTAGCAGTAAGATATTTCTAATGGTTTTTACTACAATTAAGATACACTAATTGACACATCTATATTTTATATCAGGTTGAATACAGGTAATGGATGTTTCATGCCAATTCTGTATATCATTTAGATAAGAAACAATTCAATGAAGATTACATAATGGTAAGAAACGTCTCAGGGTTTGTTGTATAATCTAACTGACGTATGGTAAAAACAGTTTCAACTCAGCTTATCATACAAAACGAATGTTACTCGTTTCCTTGAATTCTTGCTTTGATGTAATAATACACAGGGTTTGCATACTAATGTGTTGGCATTTATTAATTCAGACATTTAATTTGAGAGCTTGGATTTAATTACGAAGCGCATACGTTATCTCTTATCAAAGCACTGCAAATATTAGTAGAGTAGTGTACTTATTACACAACTAGGACTATCATTTATTTATTTCAACCCCTTCTGTTGTATTATTGCTAATAGGTTTTGATATACATTTAAGAGGCAGTGTTTCGTGTGAAAATATCGCAAATTGTTTTAAAAAACAACATTTAGACATTAATCCATTTTGTTTATTATAGTAAATGTTTAGACCTAAATAATTTATGTTCGAAATTTTGCCTTAAAACAATTACGTCTGAGAAGTATTATATGACATTGACACCATTAGAACTTTCTTTTTTTGATGGTTGTCTTCATTTTCTACCTATGACAATGAACTTAATATCTTTACATTAATACATTAAATTGCATATATAGTTTTTCATTAAACACATGTAATAGAGCAATTTTCTTCAAAAGCTTTTATTAAATTTATTTCATCCATTCCTTAAGTATTTTACCTAATCGAGTATTTCCATCATCATGAAGGTCCGAAAGAAGAATAATTGTTTATATTTCTATAACAATATTCACACCATTGGGGTACAGCTTACACTTGTGAGACTGAGCAAACGTTGAAATGCATTAAACATATGACCAAGTCTGTGATTTTTCTTTTTAAATTTATCAGATCATTAATATAAATTGCAGTAGAAAAATGCGTTTAGAATAAACAATAGAAACGTCAGTTTAATGTGATACAATATTGTCCAGCAAATGTATAATTTCAGCATTAAACTCATTTTGTTTTTCATACCGTAAAATAAATAAATAAGCTTGAAGTATTTCTGAATAAACAATAATAATGTTATTGTTTTATTATTCTTATATACTGCTTTTGTTTGTCACTTTGAAAGCATAAAAATATAAATTAATATGCATTCACAGTTTATTGATAGACAACGCAATCAATACCTGCTTTTAAAATTTTTATGCAAACTCCGCATGGATTATCTTAAGTCTTTAGGGTAAATTATGTTAATCCGGTAAAAAGAATATTTTATCATAATGAAATAAGAACTATAATGATAAATATAAATTACGAGTCTATAGAAATGACATGTTGAATATATTAAACTAAGCAGAACATTTATACTGCGAATTACTTAAAGCATGCCGTTGGTAATATTGTTTAAGCCATTAACATCTCAATATAATACGATCGGTTGTATTTTTCTAAACTTAACTAAACTAAAGACTCTCAAATAATTACCATTGAAAGGATTTTTCTGATATACCCATTACAATCAATATAATGCCATTACAAGAATGCATCATATATTGAAAATCAACCAAACATGACTTGTGTCTTTGTTTGGTTTAAACATTGACATATCACTGGTCATACTGCGCCTCAAACTTATGTAATATAAGCAGACGTTATTAAAGAATGACTGCATTTATAACAAACAAAGAACGCTGATAACGAAAAGTCAGTTACATAAATGACATTCAATCACTCAATATACAAACGCATCACACGTCACACGATCTGATGTAAATAACAATTTCAGTCAGAGGATAGACACATTAACTATGAGGCCGAAAAAGAATTCGCAATAAGAAATTTTATATTCAAGTGAGATTTTATATAATAATATATGCATTGATTAAAGAAGTCTAATATATATGCAGCAGGAAAAGGAAGCAAACACCACTAAGTGTTAATGGCGAACAGCAAATATAATAGGGTATTTACTGCAATTTTTCGAAATGAATAAGTACATGTGCCAGATGAAGTTGCTCAGCTTTCTTGTTATAAAATGTAATGTGGATGTAATGAATTAATGTCAGTTTATTATACAAAGGCTATCCTGATAAGTCATGGTCAACAAAGTTTAATGAAAATACTCAACCGGCTTCTTAATTTTTTACTGATATTTAATGAGCCATTTCTGAATACACATACATAAAACGCATGATGTCACTTAATTTGATTATATATAATTTTGAAATTTTAGTCTGATTCATCGCGTAAATAGTTACATTTTTTTTCATTCCACGAATAGAGGCGAGCATAAACATAAGGGAATTCTTTTGAAATTTCTTATACACAGAAGACCACCACGTCTAAATTGTTTACTCATTTAATTTGAATATATTTTTAACTCCTTTGCATATCTACTTTTCTTTCAAAATAACAAACAGCTTCCTTGAAAGTTAATCCAATGAGAAATTTACATGGAGATATAATTAAAAGTTATAGCTGAAAGGTAAGCCGTATGATTCAATCAAACCGCTTGCAAAACATTGAGCGCATTTCGTCTGCGTTCGTTGTAAAAACAAAAGCACTGGAGGAATTTCAATAAATGATATATGTTTCTCTATACTATTTCAGCAAATCCTTTGCTATTATGAAACATGATGAATATGCTCAACAGACGTTTAGACAGTTTGTCTGCATGCATAAATGTATTAAATTTTCTACTGAACAAGTTTGTTTTATAAATGCTGTGAGGTATAACAATGGAAAGTACGTCACACAAAGGTTGACTTTTATTATATTTACGCAATTATGATAAAGAGTCTGGCGAAAACATTTGATGAACAGAAGGAAAGTGGAAGTTGTGAATAAGTCAGCTATTGTTAGAAAGCTTTTTTAGATATTATTCTTTGATAATCTGTTCTTGTTTTAAAATGAATAAGCAACGGAAATAAAATAAAAAAGAGTCAATAAATTATTGATATGTACACAGACATGGGTTTTTAAAATGATCAAATTTTTATGGAACATGGTTTCTATCGTGTCCTAAAAGGTTTGAAAAAATACTGTAACATATGGCATTAAATTGTAGATACTTATATTTTTGTTTATACACACGTGCACACCATCTTGAGATGTTTAATAAAAATGTGGGTAGGTATTGACTGAGGATGATGTCTATTTGGCAATTTCCCAATTAGTTTTGTGTTTTTATATTTAAAAAAGTGTCACTCCAAACGACAGTTTTCAAATCATTATGTTAGTTATATTACCATTTAAAGTAAGAAATTTAAATGCTTCATTTTCAACATGATACACTGCCTGTATAGACACGTTCAATAACTCTTTTTAAAAACATTACAATAGTTTGATGAATAGTATAAAAGTTTGATCATTTAAAGAATTATTTCACTGCATAATGATACGTTGATGAACAAACAGACGTGGCATTCAAATACCTTAAATAAAATAGAAAAACTATAAAGGAAGGAAACATGATACGAATACATGTACAATGCTTTGTATGATATGTTCTAGAAATCTTATATTTTCATGAACTACTGTTTTAAATTGATTTGGCAAAAAGAAACCGCCATGAACAGTTCAACATGTAATACAAGAGGTTCAAAATAAAAAATGACATCGATTTTTTTATAGCTGCATACTTAAGTTGTTTTAAAATGTTGAGAATAAATAATCATACAATTTTTACACTAGTACACTAAGCATTACATAATTTGTAAGGAAACCACAAGAACATCATAAAATAGCATATTTGAATAATTACAAGTGCAAATTTTGATATTACCAAATAACTTACAAAGTGTTATCTTGAATAAGATTAAAACAGCGAGGTTTACGACTTGTGCACTTCACTTGTTACTGAATAAATCCGCAACTATCCGGTTAAAAGTAATTATAAAATATATTCAATTTGATTTGTAATTATTTTAAGAACATATAATTATAAATACGTATGTTATTGATGATAAAATTTCGAAAGTGAGATATTAATTTGAAACTTACATTAAAGACATCATCTGTCTGAGTAATAAATTAGAATAGATAAATCATGGAAAATTGAAAATAAATTTGTTATTGGCAACTAACAACTATTTTTATTCGATATTTTAAATCATTTTCCTAAAAGAAAAAAGAACAAGATATAACTAGATAACCAGTTTTAATTGTCAACTATTTCATAAAACTAGCATGCATATTTGAAAATATTTTTAACATTGCAAATAAAATAATAGAAGACATTACAGTCTTGTCGATTTTCTTGTTACCAATATAATAAAGTATTATTCTATTTCAACGTCTTTAAATATATGTTCACTACCTGATAAACCTAAAGCTTCAAATAAAGTTTTGAGAAAAGAAATTGTTAAATGTGTGACTGTCAACTGACAAATCGTCTTATTTAAACTTTTGGAAAAAAGCTAGCCAAATATGCAAAATTTATTTTTATTTTTCAATAACTTGTTTTAAATTTTCAACGTAAAAGACTTTATTAAAACCATTTGAATGCATTATCGATTTTCTTCAATTTTTTTTTAAATCATGCGCTTGAGTAGCAGCTAAAATACTAGATATAATATTGTTGTATTTCCTTAAATCATAGCCTAAAGAAGGGAAAACAGGCCGGGAGCTTACCAAAGCTTGATCCCGATGTTGCCACTTCGCCAGCCAACGCAGAACTCAATCACTCAATCCTAGAACTATCCGGGTACTTTTTCAGTCCCGCGAAAACCGTCGCGCATGCGCATGCAGTCCGGTAGGTCTAGGACCACTAAATCATTTCCTGCATTCACAACACTCCCCCCAACTTTATGAATGAAGGCTTCGGTCTTGGGAGTAATGCTGTGAATGCATCAGTAAAGAACTAGAAGCTCGTTTACTTCCTTAATTGTGAATTAATATCACATCGCGGCTTTAACTTACCCTAAATAAGTAGGCTGTAGAGGAAGGACTAGAAGTCCTTTTGGTACACTGGCGTTGCTGTAAAGATTCTCAAAGGCTAGAAGCCACCTGGAACTTCATTTTTCACAACCACCAGCCTGGATGTATCGGAGAAGATCTCCTTGATACTCGGATCAAAGAACACTGGAGTCTTGATCTGTATTGAGGTTATTTCTGTTGTGGTATACCTGGAGCAATCTGGATCATTTCTCAGATGAACTAGAAGTTTCAACTGAATATAACAATGACGCTTTTACTGAAAAACTAGGAATCCAACCAGCACTTTACTTGGATGAATTATCAACTTTAGACTGGTGAACTAGAAGTTCCACCAGTTTCCTGCTGGTTTTTACTGATACTGCCCTTCATAGAGACACAGGGCATTTGCGACTGTGATCTCCAGAATCCTTTCAGGCGATGTTTGAAGACGGTGAGCCACTGCATTCGCTGCTCTATACAGTTGTCCAGGCGACGATACTCTGGATCCCCTACCGGGAAAATATGGTGCATCGGACTCAAGAAGCAGGCGAGACTCTTCAATTTCTCGGAGCGCTGCTATCTGGTCACGATTAAAGGAATCCACCAGACTAGTGAAGCCAAAGTACGTCCTTGGAAATGTCTCCAACCATTTCTTAAGCACAGACTGGTCACCTGTGAAACAATGTAGATGTATAGGGTGACGTGATCTAACGTACTTCTTTAGAACATGTAGAAGAAGTAAATATGCTTCTGTACCACAGTCACCCTCTATTCCACGACAATGAATAACCAGTACATGTCGTTCTTCCAACTTGGGCAGTATCGCTTCAATCAATTCCACCTGATAGTGCCAATACTTCATTGGCTCTGTATGATCCAGTCCAATTTCTCCAAGAACTGTCACTTTTGGGAGCTGTAGGAGGTTGAACAGACGTTCAAGACCCTCTTGTCTTTCCCGATGTCCTTGCTTAGCATGTCTTGGATGGAAACCGACAGCAACTTTCATATCCCCTGGCAGGCCTAGAAGGCTCCGCTCAGAAGGATACGTCCTTGGATCACAGAAGACGGCAACTTCTCCTACCAACTTGATCCTTTTGTCATGATCAACAGGAACCTTTGCAAGAATATCTTCTAATGTACCTGATGAAGGAAGACTCAGTTCTCGCAAAGTCCTGTCCAGGTGGAAATGACTGTCATAGGCTTCTGGTAATATTTCAGCGGGTTCCTCTTCAGGCTCATCAATCACCATGCCCTCTGGAATAGGAAAGCTAGACTTCCAGTACTCCCTTTCTTCAGCATCTAAACTTGCTGCGATTAACTGAAGTACCTTCCAATGGATTAGAGCACCTGGTGAGTTGATGGGCTCCAAAATAAATTCCTTCGGAACTTCGGATTTAAGAAACCCACAGAAAGCCTGCATAGCTTCCGTCTGAGTTGATGACACCACTGTATCCCCTGTTGATAGTAACAGTTTCTGAATCCTAACAAATGACATCAACTCATCAAGGGATGCTGCTGGTTTTACCAAAAGCCACCTGGCTGCTTGGATCAGAGCGTTCCTTCTTCCCCGCAATACCCACTCATTGTCAGGTTGTAGCCTTTCATCGAAAATCCCAGGGACATGATGCTTGAAGGCATGAACCTTCATATACTGGGCCGGTTCCAAACAGTTTGGCACCCAGCATTTAACGTTCATCCTTTTGTTAGACCGCCTTTTCCCTGTAGATCTTTTCTCTTCCATCGCTTTCCTGACTTTGAGCAATGTATCTTCTGTCCTCTGCTTCTTCCAGCTTGAAGCAGGTGGAGGAGCCGCACGCCTTTCAGGATGAAGTGGTTTGGGGTAATCTATGGTCATACCCCTCCCCATAGCGACACTACGATCTCCACCCGTTCGTCCGAAAGTAACAGACAATCTGGTAGGTTGTGCGGGTTGCGAATGAACTTCTGAACTAGAAGCCACAGGAAGTTTCGCCTTCTTACGCTCTTGATGTGAAGCATGCCTGGAAGACGGACTAGAAGCCCGTTTCTCCCGTCTCCCTGAAGATTCAGCTCTAACCATGGGTTTTGGAGTTCCTGTATTCCTAGAAGGTTCATGAATAAGACTCTTTTTTGTGGCCTTCCTTGGTGATCTTCTAGGACTGCTCACAACAATATCTGGAACTTCCACGGACACCTTAGAAGGGGACTCTAGAAGAATCGACACTTCCATCGGTACCTTCGGTGAACTAGAAGGGGACTCTAGAAGAGCCGCCACTTCTTCCTCTCCAGCCGACAATGCCAAGATATCATCCGAAATATCATCCTCCCTTGGACTTGGAGGATCTGGCTTCCTTACTGGCTTATCCTTGAGAATCCAGATATTGCTGGAGATCCAATCCCTGTGGGCTATTTGAGCTGAGTCCAACTGGATTGCTGCTTCCTGTAACCAAGCTCTCCAGGTTTTCTTGTTTCTATATGTTGCTAATCTGGTCTTCACCAGATTAACCATATCCAATATCAGTTTCTGACGTTTTTCAGTATCTTGAACGCCAGGGAATCTCAAACTAATCTTATTAATAAATTCCCTGGCTGGTGTGTATATGCGTCCTTGCTCCAGGTATTTCAGAGCGATAACCTCAAAATCCTCTGTATCCATTTTCTGTGCCATAACTGAAAAATACAAAAAGAATAACAAAGTTACAACGCTCACCCTCATCTCAGTCTAACGTTATTGTCCTTACATGATCGGCATTTATATCGGTCAATGTCAAGGGCATCTGTAGAGGTGATGTTGACGCATGATCCATGAAACCACTCATCACAATATTCACATTGTATCATGAATCTTCCGTTCCATGGCTTCCTGCAGATGCAGTATACTTCATTATCTTCAGTATTTGGCTCGTCAGCGTCGGATTCAGGCGTATCCTTGTATTTTTTAATCCATGATGGCAATGTTCGATCTCTACATGGCATCATCCGATCATGGTTGGTGACGAATATAGCATTACGCAATTTCACCCGATACAATATTGCTGACAGCTTCTTTGTTATTATGGCTGGACCTTTCCATGGAGGGCATAACTTGCGAGATTTACCTTTAGTAGATGCTGTATCTAGAAGATAGACAACATCTCCCTCTGAATATGGTCTGTACAATACTCTTAGGTCATAATCACGCTTCATACGCTTCATAGATGTCTTAAGAGTATTTCTCGCTGTTATGTGTGCTTTTTGTATGGTTTGCAAAAGATTTGATATATATTCACCATACTCTTCTGGGGCTTCAGCTTTTGCATTGGGAAACATCAGTTGTGCTGGTGTATTAACTTCCCTTCCCAACATTAACATGTTTGGTGTGAATCCAGTACTGCGGTTTACGGAAGCTCTGATCGCCATCGCTATCTGCTGAATGTTTTGATCCCAACTATCTTGAGACTTGCCAATGAAACATCTAACAGCATCGAGCAACGTTCTGTTAAATCTTTCTACTTGACCATTACTGGATGGCCGATATGGCGTTGTTCTTGCTTTATGTATATGTAGAGCCTTGCAAAGAGCTTCAAATAATTGACTTTCAAAGTTTCTTCCCTGATCTGTAAATATCTGGAATGGGAAACCAAAGCGACTAAAGAAGTCATCAATGGTAGCTTTTGCAGTCACTTCCGCTTTCTGGGATGGTAGTGGTACACATTCTACCCACTTTGTAAACTGGTCAACCATCATCATGCAATATTGGTTACCCCTCGACGTTTTAGGCAAAGGTCCGAGAAAATCTATATGCACGCGTTCCATAGGTGCCCCTGCTTGATATTCAGTAAGTGGTACCTTACCATATCGCTTTTTCTTCTTATTTTGATTGCAAACAGCACAAGATGTCACATAAGATTCAACATCTCTTGAAAGACGAACCCAAAAGAATTTCTCCTTTAGTTTAGCTTTCGTTCTAGCTACTCCCTGATGTCCTGCTGAAGGAATGTCATGATGCCAAAGTAGTGCCTGTTCCTTTAAACTATCAGGTATAACTAACTGTAGATCTTCAGCATCTGAATTGTTTTTAAAAAGAACACCATCAACCAAATGGAATAGCTCTTTATTAAGCCAATAGAATTTGGATTCTGGACTAGAGAGGAATAGAATTCCTTCATCTGGTACTCTCTTGTCTTTCAACCACTCAATTATGAAATGCAAATCTTTATCTTTGGATTGCTCTTTCTGTAGATCCTCGAAAGTGAATCCCCAGCAAGAAGGAAGACTTGAACTATCTTCATCCATAGACATTACTGGACAAAGACTAATGAAATTTTGCCTTCCCTCTCCGATGCCTGACGTTACTATATCGAAATGAGAATCACTTCCGCCTAAACTTGTGACATCTGCCGTGAGCACGCAATCAATAAGACTCCATTCTTCTCCGGTATCAGCATGGTCTAGAAAACCGATGCTTTCTGTATTTGTTTCAGTACGATCTAGAAGATCTGTACTGTTTTCTTCATTATAGCACTGCCTTTTTACTGAAGTTATTTGTTTGAAGTTTTGGGCATCTCTTGTTCTGCATGATGTACTCAAGTCAGATTCATCATGAACCTGGATCCTAATACTTGCTACATCTTCAAGACTTGACCCGCACAGTTCTGCAGTTGCCCCCATATGAACGTTCACTGAATTGGATGTCGTTATACCCTGCTGAGCCAATCTTACTGAGTCGTCGACATCATCAATAAATTTGGCCCATTGCTCGCAGCCCTAATGCAGTAAGGACATCCACCACATGGCAAATCTGCAAGCTTAATGCCAGCTATATACGATTTACACGGTGTCAAAGTTTCCGGAATTCTTGACAGCGCGTCCGCATTGCCGTGTTTCGATCCAGCTCGATGTTTAACAATCATGTTATACTGTGAAAGTTCCTCTATCCATCGAGCCAGCTGACCCTGTGGTTCCTTAAATCTTAATAACCAGGTCAAACTAGAGTGATCGGTTCTCACAGTGAAGACTTTTCCTAAAAGGTAATGCCTAAACTGCCTCGTGAACCTCACAATGCCCAAAAGTTCTTTTCTGGTGGTGCAATAGTTCTTTTGTTCTGGAGTTAATGAAAAGCTGCTATAAGCAATGACTTTCTCTTCTCATCTTGAACCTGAAGTAATTCTGCACCTATAGCCGAATCCGAAGCATCCGAATCTAATATAAAAGAATCTTCTTGATTTGGTAAAGCTAAAACTGGTGGTGATGTTAAAGCTTCCTTTAATGTATTGAATGCTTCTTGTTCTTTATCGCCCCAGTGAAATTCATTCTTTCCCGTTAGTTTGTATAACGGCAGTGCTATATCCGCAAAGTTCTTGACAAATGTACGATGGTAATTTGCTAAGCCTAAAAACCTTTCAACATCTTTGGATGACTTTGGACATGGCCAGTTTGCTACTGTTTCTATATCTCGAGAAGTCATGGCCATTTTATTCCACTAACTGTTCTTCCAAGGAATTCTACTTCTTTTTGGAAGAAAACACATTTTCTTGGCTTTAGCTTCAAACCATGTGTGCGGAATCTTTCTAGGGCTTCGGCTATATTTCCCAGATGGTCCTCAAAAATTCCTTCCCAGCACCAATATATCGTCTAAGAATGCCAGTACCGTTTTCCAAGTTAATCCACGCAATATCAGATTCATCACTCTGGAAAATGTGGCTGGTGCATTGGTCAGACCAAACCCATTCTAACATGCTCAAACAAACCGTAATTTTGTTAGAAACGCTGTTTTTTTTTGTTTTTTTTTACTTATTTTGACTTGCCAATACGCTGAGTTTGCATTTAATTTAGAAAACCAGATGCTTTTTGACAATGTATTTAAGCAATTTTTGACCAATGGTAATGGGAAAGTATTTTTAACCGTGACATTATTAAGGGCTTTGTAATTTATACACCATTTTACAGATTTGTTACGCTTTTTGATTAGAACTGGAGAGGACGCCCATTTTGATACAGACTTTTGTATGACACCGGCATTTACCATTTTTTTTAGATGCTTTTTTTTTCCCAACAAAACAAGCTGGTGTGCGCCTTATGCGTTGTTTTATGGGTTTTGCATCTCCGGTGTCTATGGTATGCTCTATTGTAGTAAAGCTTTTTAAATTGAAATTACTTTTAGCGAAAACATTTTTATAATTGCTAAGGAGTTTAGCTAACTTTTTACTTTGCCCTTGATTAAGATGTTCAGTAGAAGCTTGAAACAACTTTAGCAGATGATCTGGAACCACTTCTGTTGGAGTCTCTAATGATTCACACAACTGTTCGGCGACTGTTCTAACTCTTAATCTCGTAGAACTAGAAATCCTTCGAGATTTTAGACGATTGTAGTTTTAGAATGACTAGAAGTCACTTCATTTTCTTTAGCGCAGAGATGTAACTATTTTCGCTTTGCTCATCTAGGATATGTTCTACTTCATATGCATTTGCAATCACTTTACCCTTCTTGAATGTCTTGTAAGAGTCAGTTGGATTGACTAAACAAACAATTGGCTCCGTATCTGAAGACATCAATGTCCTTGGCATCAATATACCAACTGTATTCAACTTTTCATCTGGTTCTATAAAATAGTCACTCAGATGTGGTGTTTGAGACTGCATGACATCCGAACAACTGAATTTGGCGGAACCACAGTACGTTTTGCCACTGTAACTCTTGCAATAGTCAGCTTTCCCTCTCTAAAGCTTGTATTCATAGGAATCTGCTCACCATTCACAATTAAAGTGTCTGAATGCATATCCATCATAACTCCTAAATGATGCATTATATCATGTCCAAGCAGCATTTCATCACTAATAGGTGCAACATAAACTCTTTCATGAAATACTTGAGATCCGAGTTGCAATCTTAATGGTTTAGTGATAAAGCCTTTAGTACTGCTTCTTGATCTGCCATTTGCATAACTACATCTTTTACTTTTGCAGGCTTTTTGCTCAAGGTAGCGAAGACTTTTTGAAGAGAGTATGGTAATTTCAGCACCAGAGTCAATTCTTGCTTTGACTTCTTGATCACCAACTGTCAGTAACACAAAAGAAGAACCAGCTCGCACTTGATGAACGCTGACAATTCCGTCATTCTGTGTTTCTTGGATACCTAAATTTAATTTGACTGTATTACCATCTTTCAAAATATCTTCACTTTCATTAACATGACTAGAAGTCATGCCATCTGTATGGTCTTTTTCATCAGATTTAATTGTTGCAGTAACTATAGGGTGTTTAAGATGATCTTTGATGACCTTGACTAAGAAGTCTTGTCACCTTTACGAAGGCTAATAACATCTTCGTGATCTGTAACTGGTTGTTCTTCACAGATGACATCAGCTTCCGGACTAGAAGTCGCGAGAATCTTTTACCATTTTGACCAGTTACTTCTGCGGGCTTTGAACGTTCTTTGGCCATTCCATTCAGCCCTTTCTTGTTTAAATCACGATTTGCTGGATTTCGTTGTTGTTCCGTAGTGTTAGATAGCCCCTTTTTCTTCAACCATTCTTTAAATCCTGGACAGTCTTTCTTATGTGGCCCCTTTGTTTGCAAAAGAAACATGATAGCCCTCTTCCTGTCCTAGATTCAGTTTTTCTTTTATTGGTTTTAGTCAATTGCTGAATTTTACTGCTAAGCTGTTCCATAGCTTTGTTCAGGCAATTGTTCCACCCTGGCTTCAACTGATGTATTTACTGCATTAATTGACAC